AGTAATCGAAGCTGTAAATGGTTATTTTGAGGAGCTTGACGAATCAGTCTATAGAGATGGCATTAATAGACTGGAACACCGCTATGAGAAATGTATCAGCCTTGGAGGAGATTATGTTGAGAAATAAAAAAAAAAAATTTTTAAAAACCTTGTTTTTCTTGGTCAGGCCGGAAACTTATCAATCCACCCTCGTAAATAACTGCATTGTCTACTTTTATCTATGTATGTTTTAATTTTTTGTCGGTATAATCATGTCGAACAATAAGCGGCAGTGATGTACTGGTAAAACGGAACGGCGAATATATCGCCTTATCACTTGTTTGGTGTTTTGAGAAAGCCGATGTTTTTTTTTTTTATAAATCCCGTCTCACAATAGGTTATTAATGTTCGGATGCAATATACGCGGCAAGTGCAGAAAATGATATGGCTTAAATATATGTACAAGAAGCGACAATTTGCGCAACACCTGTATCTCAAATCGTACCTATATTGAATGTAATTTATTAAGCGTATATTATTCAGTGTGCCACGGCTTTTCAAGAAGAGTAGATATAACAAAATTTTAAAAGTGAAGTGATAAAAAATTTCAACTGCAAGATAATGATACTGCACTTAAAGATTGGATTCGTTTATAACAAATAAGAAAAATCGATATTGTTTTAAGCGCATGGGTTTATGTGGACAAGCAAGGAGATACATTAATGTGCAGATTTATGCCACTACCTTACGATAGACAAAAATGTAAAATTTTGTCAAAAATGACAAAGTTACTTTATTGAGCTTCGTGGAGCTGTAAGTAAGTAAAATAATTTTCTTTTTAATTATGAATTTCTTGAACTTATCGGGTGAATATAATTTATTATTTTAAAACTTTGATTTTGTAAACAAATTGAGTAATGATATCAGCTTTAAGTAAAAAATTCTGACTACCTATTTTATTAAAATTTTCATTTTTTTCTTCATGCATTGAATATAAAATTTGAAAATTACGTAGAATTTTATATTATAAATGAAACTGTTTTTTCTGATTCTAAAGTTATTGTCCCTGGTAAATACACGTCAAGATACTGTAAGAAATTGTGGGAGCATAATGCGGTATTATATTTTGGATATTTTGGCACTGAAATTCACGCCTGTGAAGCCTAAAGTATTTGAAACGACAATTTTTTATAAATTAATAGAAGGTACTTTGCAATAGTTACAGTGCATTTATTAATATATTATATTATAAATATATAACTTCTATTGCAGGCATACTTACTAGAAAGTCTTTGAAATCGACAGATGATTTATCAGTTTATCACCTATAGATATTATTAAGGCTATATCACTGCCGCTATTGGGGTGGTGGACGTTCAGCCCGTAATAAAAAAAAGGATGATGGAAGTCTAAACATCGATGTTTAATGTTCTCTAATATATAAAAATGTTACTCTGCATATACTATACATATATATGTACATAGCGTTAGGCACATTGTTTTCTATTTCCTGTATTGCGTTTTATTTAATATATGTGTAAAGTATTGCTTACAATTTTTACTTATAACCTACATCCCATTTTTTTTTATGAGTGTAAATTCAAATAGGAAAACCTCATTGGGTAGATATTAGGATATAATTAAATGAAGGCACAAGGGCCTAATGAGGAAGCCGCATTAGGTCCGCATAACCCAATATTCGTATGCCACATTTCCTAATTACAGCCTAATGTTGCCCTAATGAGGTTTTCCTAATTAGGCATTTTTGGGGGCATGCGTTACGTTCGTGATTAGGACCTAATGCGGTTTCCGCATTATGCCCTAACGCGGAATTAGGCATGCCTAATGCCAACCTCTTGACTACCGAACTCTAAATTCTAGTCGGGGCATTTTTTACATTTTGGTACTGATCGGAATCATTATACAAGGTGACCGACGGTCCCGTCGATCACAGTTACAAAGATTAATTGACAGGCAAACCAGCAAACCTTTCCTGACAAATCAGGTCCGTAGTGTGAAAATGTATTAAATAAACCCATAATTGTACATAAACATTTATTAACTACTATAAGTAGATATAACAATGCAAAAAAAATGGAAAACAAACTAAAAATGTAGAATAACATATTTATATAAGTAGTGGATTAAAGGAAAGTATTATACTTTCTTGACAAAATGCTTTGCTGCAAAAGATAAATGAATTTGAAATTTATGCTCTTCACCATTCACCATCACCACAATTTTCCTCCACTACTATCTGTTGACGCCTGGTTTGACGAACTTTGTTGTTTTATGATTAAAACTCACGTTAGTTTTTTGATGTTGTGTTTATTCAAACTTGCAACTTAAATAAAAAAAAATGACACCTTTATTATTTTAATCGGTTTTAGACTTATCCAGACCCCTAGAACATGGGTCATCCCCTGGCTTTCCTTTTTTTACTTTTTCCGCTTACGTCTCGAAGGACACTTCCCACTTCTCAAAAACATAAAGAGGGTATTCCTAAATTGAGTGTCGTGGGCGATAACGTTCGTCACTACTTGACAATCAGAAATGAGAGGAACTTATATATCAGCACAGGAGACGTAGAATGTGAATAGCACTTTCCATATCTTTGTCAAAAACTAGTGAATAGTCACAATTTATTTCTGTGATTACGCAGTTTTCCGTGATCTATGAAGATTTCCATAAGAGTTTTAGCTTTGTTTTGTCGAGGGTGAGAATTTATTCTTCTCAGGTCTTTGACAGCTACATTTTGGTTGTATTTCTTAGTCTCTTACAGTTCTGAAGCGGCGGACATGCCGACTTCGGAAGTTTCTGCTTTTAACGGGGCTATTGCAAATATCAACAATTAGTTGTATATCAATGGCGTCTTGTTGGACACTATAACCTGAGACTTAGTTTCGAGTCGATACTCTATTGATAGTTTAGTGGAAGTCCTATAACAGCTTGGAGCTTGTTAAATGCCAAACCTCTAAGGATGAAAGCACTTTTACAATCAGTGCGTATATAGTAATGAATATCTGTTACCACTTCGACAGTTATAAATGCCAAGTTCACTCTTCTCCGTCTTCTTAGGCCTATTGGTGAATCATTGGTCACCGTTATACGTAATGGAGTGAGTGAGAAATCGTCTTAATTTGTAAGTTTGGGAGCATATCAATATCAATATCAATACCCCCTGAGATTATATAGTTGGAGAGTTCAATAGACCTTACCACTTTACCCTCTTTCTGTGTCCGTTTAATCGTATCCCTCTAAGCTAAGGTAAATGGGAAAGCTGTCTTATGAGCTTACATCAGTCATCATCAGAAGGTCATCAGTCCTAAGACTGGTTGGACACGCACCTCCACTCTTTCCTCTTTCCTATCTTGAGCTAATCTTCGCATTTCCCTAAAACTAGAACAACCCACATCCTTAACTATTTGCGAATAGTAATTTAATCTAGATCTACCGCTACCCTTTTTAACTCCCTATCTGCCTCTAATATGTCTGTTACTAGACCTTCATGCCTAAGAAGGTGTCCTACTAACCTATCTTTTTATTGACTTCTATACAGTCTTCTGTTTCCCTATTCTTTCTAATATCTCTTCGTTTCTAACCTTCTCTATCGGCAGTATCCTCATCATTCGCCTGTAACACCACATTTCAAACGCTTGTAATCTTTTCTTTTCCGTCGTCCATGTTTCGCACCCTTACAGCGCCGCGCTCCAGACGTACACCTTTAAGTACCTTTTTGGAATTTCTAAATTAACCGTTCGCGAACATAGAAGTGACCCTGCGCTATCCTCTGTTTTATATCCCTACTATTCCTTCCGTCCTGACTTATTCGAGTTCCTAGATACCAAAAATCAGCCAAAAAAATTTTTCGTCTCCTATCTTCATATTCGCTTTTTCCCTACTTTTTGTTTTCCCTTTCATACCACTATTTTTCACATCAATATCGCTGATTTTTTTGTGGAGTCCTGATGAGGCGTATACACACTAGATGGGGAATGGCTCCCTATAAATTCTGGTCGGGCAGTAGAATACATTCAGACGTTTCTATATCTGAACTGTAATAGAGATCACAATTAAATATGACAGTAATTTGTCTGTCTTTTAAACCATTGTGTTGAAGTGACGGATTAGGTATGAATAGGATATATGTAGATAGTATATGATGTAGTACGACGAATAGAAGGATATGCGTAATTGATCCGCACGCAATCTCTCAATTATGTTACCATATACCTGCGGTTAGCATCTTTAAGCGCTTGTCTAACGAAAAATAATTAAGTATATTATAATTATTAATGGAAATACAGTGTAAACTCTATATAACGACACTTAACGGACTGAACATTTTTCGGCGTTATAAAGAGTGGTCGTTAAATGGAGAGAAATAAAAGATATTATTTTACTATTCTATAATAATATGCATTTACCAATATAGTACACATTTTGCACACGAACATTATTATTCATACATTGCGTATAGCCTGTTATCTTCGTCTGATGTTTTTTGCTGCTCCAATATTTTAATTGTATTTTGTTACGTATCTTACTCATATCTTGAGATACTGCTGGATCAATTTGATTATATAAAAAGTATTTTTTTAATAGTTTCGCTGCATCAAGTGCTTGTTTGATGCTTGGTGGAGGGACAGGATCGTCTTCTTCAACAACGTACACAGCTGCAGTTCTTATCTATTTCGGCAACTTAGAAAGTACTGCCTAATGATTTATAATTCCGCATTGTTGTCGTTAAATAGAGTGAGCATGACGCTATATAGAGTGTAATATTATATAGAAAACAATGTAAACCAACCATAGTCAAGCAATTTCGACGTTTTAAGAAGTTTGTTGTTTACACTGTACTTCACTGTCAAATTATCAAGTAGGACTCAAATTTTCTCTTAATTTCAGATAGTACTAAATTCCATGCATCGTTATCAACCGAGGATACATTTGGTAAAATGGCGGGATCATGCTGGACCTATTACGGATCTTGAACAGGAACAATACAGGACGTTCATATTTTCGGAAACGGTCTTCACAGCAGTAACGGCATACCAAAACCAACTTATCACAAAACTGAAGATTGATTCGAATCCATTTGCAAAAGGTTTTCGGGACTCTTCTAGACTCACCGATTTTGATAGGTAGGTTCTTAATTAAATGCTTGTTGCGATTCAACTAGTGACAACCTGAATTTTACTTGCCTCAATAAAAAATATCGGTATGGAATAAATTTAACGCAAAACTGTTGGTTTTGTTAAACAAACAGAATCCACACTATAGAATCTATTACAATCATGTCCGTGTGAAATGTGAAAAGATTAATAAGGTTTCAGCCAGTTTTTTGTAGACCCAAAAGCAGTAAGAGAAAATCTAACCTGCAGTAATTTTAACTGCTGATAGTCTCAATCAACGATTTTACTCAAAAATTTCTAACACTGCTAGCCATGTGGATAGTATCACGATGAAATTTTATTACGATGCTTTTGGTATTACTTACAATTAGTACCATATATGCATGAACGATCTTGTGAAGAAAGAAGAAAAGAAGCCTTACCTTTTGCTTCCAAAAATTGAAGCATCTGCTCTAAAACTTTGCTTCTAAAAAAAGGAATCTAGGTTTACGACAACTTTTCTCGGTCTTTTCAACTTTTTTTTTTCGTAGCTGCGGATCAGATAGCTTGTAATCTAAAAATTTATGTATTTGTAGGACTGTTTTTGTGTTAAAATCTAAAAGGACTTGTATAAGTAATTTTTAGTTGTGTGGTCCCAGTGTTGTGTTTGTTATAACTGATATGATGCATTTACGTACAAGAAAATACTACAAACCAAGACGTACACCACGAGAATCAGATTTTAATATGTTACTTAGATTTGAGGAGAATGTTGTGTGGTTGACGGACTACTTTCTTGTATCCCGAAACACGTGAGTAGCCGTGTCACCTGTGTAGAAAATGAAAATATTTCTGCGTTATTGTGCGAAACCATTTTAAATTTGGTTTCAACACTGCACTAGTAAATTAGGAACGTATTAAACAAATAAAACAAACAGCTGTCACGTAATTTGTCAAAATCGGTAGGGGCTAATCTGTACCTTTTACTTTATTAATTCGAAGCATTTCCTTGTAAGGAAAAGGTATAGATTATAAATACAGATGTTTTATGTTTATAAACACGGTCAAATATCTCGGTGGCGAGTTGAGAACCGAACATAAGTATATACTTTAAGGCAGTTTTCAAAGAAGTACAATATTTGAAGTTTTTCCTTATTCCTACCAAATGTGTGCATTTCGTCACTCTTAACGATTGCAAGTTTATATGATGCATTTTCTTAACAACTTCAAATCATCAAACAAAATTTCTAAAAAATGGATTATTAAGTATCTAGGTATATATATATAGCTATCACTATAGGTACTATTGAGAAAGAAAATATTTAATTTTTTTTTTAAGCGTTTATCTTACCAGGTGATGCGTTATTGTTTGTGTTCAATGTCTGTGACGTCATATTTGGGGGCATACACATTTACGGATACATAGTGATTAATCACTGGATAAATATAAAAATCTGAACAAAGGCTTTCACGGCCGGAATCCATAGTAGAATGAAGATTCGGGCTATAGGTTCGTGATCTAAGTGAACTATTCTGTCCACACGTTTCGTCGGCTACCACTATAAAAATCTGAATTATACATAATACATAATTTTAATAGTTATTATTGTGTACATATAAGTAGTTTTTAGACTTTTCAAATTATTTCAAAAATATTTGCTACTTGTTATCTAGTGGTTGGTTTAAAAGTATTTTAGAAATGGAAGAATCAACTGAAAGCAAAGATAAATAGAAAACGTAAAAAACTAAACGGATTACAGTCCATTTCAATTTGTTAGAATTGTAACCTTGAAGAAATCTGTGCGAAGATAGAAATAATACACAATAGGCGTGAGCAAGACAAAAATAGTTGGAACAAACTTGAACGAGCAGAGCTCTCGATGGGCGGTCTTAGGAGATCGGCTAGAACTGTACAGTACCAGAAGAAAATGTCCAGCAATTTCTTAAAACAAAAATGTATATAAATTACCAATAGAAAACAAAGCAAAAGTTTTATAGGTGTGTAGACCGTTAAGTTAATTCACTTGTTATTATTTTTGGCTGTTTAAATAATTTTGCAAATGGTACTGTACACTTTTGTCTAGTTCTCGCTCGATGATCGGTAGAGAAATGAGCTCCGCAGACAAATATGATTGAATTTGGAATTATGCTACGGCGCATCCTAATAAAGGGAAGGAGCATATCTCTAACTTCTTGAAACGAACAGTACGTATAGTTTTAAGTGTAATGTTTCAATCGCGTCAACTCGCAGCAACGGCAGCGCAAAGACATCAGCAACTGTTATTAGTTGTCGTAGGATACGGTACAGCGCAGCGTTCGTTTCGAGGTTGTTTTGCGATTGTACTAATTGCCATTGTCTTAATTAAAAATTCGCGAATGTAATATATAAATGCTATTGTCGTGTTTGCGCGTTCTCTCGGCCTGTGCGTGCAGTATTTATTTGCAACTGCAAACAAACGAAACCGGGGCTGGTTTATGTCTCACATTTATGAACGTTTATTATTTAATTGATGTCATAAAGTACCTTTTACCGGCTAATTGATTGGGCGTCAAGTAAGAATTTACATTGTCGGGTTCACTTGGTTCGATACGAACAAGGACTGCTGCCCACTTTAGTTTTCCCACCACCACCACCACGTTCATACCATCATCACTGTTCCCATAACTAACGACCCGGTTAAAAAACTACGTACTATTTAATCAGAAATGTGACTGCTATAAATTTATTCGAAAAATTAAAGATAGATAACAATGGTTTAGTCTTTTTCGGAACTATTGGTTGACAATTTAACAATTTTCACTTGATGTTTCGTAAGTAATAGGGTTTGTCGGTTTTTAAAAACCGGTTTTTGACGTGACAACGTCTTATAATTCGATGGAGCCGGCTGCACGCACGAAAAAACATGACTCATGCGGCGTTACCTCGCTCTGAGGCGTCCCATTTAAGGCTTAAAGTGGAAGCGAGAGCGCGGAACGAGCGACAAAGAGGCACAATCGGCCTCCGCGTTCGGCAGCNTCCTCTGTCGGGAAAAAACGAAATGACTCCGAACAACCCGATAGTATAAAACAAAGTCGCTTCCCGCTGTCTGTCCCTATGTATGCTTAGATCTTTAAAACTATGCAACGGATTTTAATGCGTTTTTTTTTAATAGATAGAGTCATTCAAGAGGAAGGTTTATATGTATAATACATGCATAATATTGTAGAAAAACACTGTTAATTTTAGAGGTTTGTAATGTAATGTAAATAAACACATTTTTTTTGCGCTTACATTGCAAACGCTGGCTTAACCCTACGGGATAGATCAAAATAATATACTACGGTATTGTACACCTTAAAAAGGTCTACAAAAAAGTCCGAGATGGTATATGTCTATCTCTTAGGGATAACCCACAATAACCATTTTTTAACCTTTACTTTTTATAAGTAATAATGGCTTATTTACGAAGCGATTTTAAGCAATACAACATTAATCCTTATCCAATTAAGTACTTTTAAATACATTGTGCTTTTAATATAGATCAATATGGCCCTTACAGCATGTAATTTAAATGAATATTTTCGAAGATATTACATACTTAAAATGCAGAGACATAGCGGTTGCNATGCAACGCATTTCCCTCGCTGTCTGTCCCTATGTATGCTTAGATCTTTAAAACTACGCAACGGATTTTAATGCGTTTTTTTTAATAGATAGAGTAATTCAAGAGGAAGGTTTATATGTATAATACATGCATAATATAGTCGAGAAACACTGATAATTTTAGAGGTTTGTAATGTGATGTAAATAAACACATTTTTTTTGCGCTTACATTGCATACGCTGGCTTAACCCTACGGGATAGATCAAAATAATATACTACAGTATTGTACATTTTAAAAAGGTCTACAAAAAAGTCCGGGATGGTATTATGTCTATCTCTTTGGGATAACCCACAATAACCATTTTTTAGCCTTTACTTTTTATAAGTAATAATGGCTTATTTACGAAGCGATTTTAAGCAATACAACATTAATCCTTATCCAATTAAGTACTTTCAAATACATTGTGCTTCTAATATAGATCAATATGGCCCTTACAGCATGTAATTCAAATGAATATTTTCGAAGATATTACATACTTAAAATGCAGAGACATAGCGGTTGCGGCGGTACCGGTCGATTTGTATTATCTAATGACAAAAAAGCTGTGATTGTTGTATATAAAGACATTCTATAGTATATTTTCTATCAGCATTGCACCCGTGCGAAGCATAGTGTACAAATAATACCATTAAACCAATTCCTTAACCCCTATCACGTTGTATTTTTTTTTAACCTCGAGAAGGGGAAATCTTCTAAAGACACCCCTCAAAAGGGAGGTAGTGTCGGATTCACTCCTGATGAGAGCGCCTACCGACTAAAAACCCTCGAGTTGGTAGATCAACCTGGCGGTTATGACTATCGGGAGAGAATAGGAGAAGTTTGGGGAAGGGGAGTGGATTGAGTGGATGATAGGTGAAGAGGTGAGGCAGGGAGGTTAGGGAGATGAACTGCGAAGAAGGTGGCCCAACTCTGAAGGGAAGTATGGGCACTCGCGCTAAAAAGCGAAAAAATTCATTTTCAATTTCTTAACCACTATAAACTACCTCAGGTTAATGAGGGAAAATTTGTTGCTGTTGTCACACCCTTGCCGGGAAAAAAACCCGGGATCTTTGACTTTACGCACCAATGCTCTGACCTCTAAGCTACGAGAGATGACAACAGCAACAACGATAAACATATTATACATATTACGTACGTCACGTCGAACTAATGTAATTATAGGTATTAATACTATATATATGAAACGCTTTGACATTTAATAGTGGTTAATATGAAAAACATTGAATTAATTTTCAATATTTTAACCACTGTTGTGACACCCTCGCCGGGAATCGAACAGCCGGGATCTTTGGCTTTACGCATCAATGTCCTGACCACTCAGCGACGACAGATGACAACAGCAACAACGATAAACCGAATTTATCAGGTCACAGATCTGTCAAATTA